CCCCCCCCCCCCCCCCCTTTCATTCTTATTTTCAGTATTTCAGTCACGGGCTACTGTAACACTGAATTGTGTGAACAATAAATTGAATTTCATTACCTGCATACTTTAAATGATGAAGATATATTTTGATTTCCTCAGGAAAAAATTGTAAGGTACCTAAAGCCTGTATGTTTAAAGTGCTAATTGTTCAAAGCTTCTCATGAGTAAAAGCTAATTACACCCAAAATTTAATAAGACATAGAAATCATAATATTTCAGTTTACGGTTTAGCAGTTTGTTAAGAGTCAGCTTTGTGTGTATGTGTGTTTAAATGCGCATATATATATATATACATATATATATATATATTTATATATAATGTAAATATATATATAATGTATTCCTATACATAGGAATGCCCATAAAATCTTTTTACTACTCTAATTCTCCCACTTGGAAGTTTGTCTTCCGTGTAATCTTTCCTGTAATGCTCATGTCCTTTTCAGATTTCAAGAAGAAATTTTCAGTTTCACTTTCTTCTAAGGTGTTTCTTTTCTCCATGTCATTTAAATGACATTCACTGATAAGCAAGTATTTATGACCTTTTATACCAGTGTCCAGTACAGAAAGAAAAAAATCCCTGTTTTTTAGGTTTGAAATTGTTTTCTAATTCTCAATTAAGAACAGATCTAATAATGCTTTGAGAACTGCTGTTTAAACAGATAAATCACCATGTTCTAAAGAACATCTCAGCTTTGTGTGTTTGCAGAAATGTCAGTGTTGGGGTTAGAATGCCAGTTACCATTTCATTATGAAAATGTGTATAAGAACTATAACCATCTTAAATATTTTGTCTTTCTTTAGGGTAATTGTACAAGCTTCATTTAGTTTATTCAATCTGCCTTTGGCAGATATTGTTGATGCAGATTTAATAAAGCACAAGCGGAGGTATGTCAGCAGTAACTACTTTTCTTTAAATATGCTATTTGCCATGTTACTCTTTCATAAGTTAGATTATGTCAAAGTAAAGACAGTAAATGATCTTGGATCCTTGACACAGAAGTACTTTCTGTAAAAGTAACTTGGCATAAGTAAAGATAAAAACTTGAATAAAATTTCCTGTGGTTACTTCAGTAGCATAATTTAAGCAGATTATTAGGTAATTTCTAGTTTTAATTATACTATAGTATAAGCCAAGTCCTTCATTTTTTTGTGGTTTTATTTCTGTTAGCTTCAACTGAATTATTTTGTAACCATATACATCTACTGTAATTTATGGACTTTTTGAATAAGGCCTTTCTAACATGGAAAAGGTGTTTAGAAAGCTTTGCTTTTGCTACTTAAAGTGCAGATTTCAAAGTCTAACTGGTTGCTGTTATCTCTCAAATAAAAATTGATAAAACCTGCTGTGACATAGCATATTACAGTTCATGGACCTTTTGGATTTTTATCAAAGTGCAGGTAACTTCCTGCGGGTTCCGTCAATGTTTACATAAGTAAAAATTCAATCCTAGTCACTGTATTAAAGCCATTGCCCCTCAAAGGTGAGAGCTATTGCTTTCATGAAGAAAAAAAAGCCTCCTTTTCTGGCCTTATGCATGTAAAGTCTCAAATTGTAATTAATTCTCCATGCACTGTTCAGTCTAACTTAACTTCAGTAATTACTCAGTGTGCACAAAGCTGAACTTGGGTGCAAGTCCTTTCAGAATTGGGGCCAAGCTGTATATATACCCCAGAGGTTTATTACCTTTCATTTCCAAATAAATTTAAATTTCGTTATAATAGTTGATCCATTTGCTAGAATGTGTGAACTATATAAAGCTGTGGATCATGACAGCATTTGCATATTAACAGGATTTTTAAAATCACTATTGTAATCAATATACTAATAAGTTTGTATTGCATGTTTGCTTTTTCCCCCTAAATATTTTAGATCACCACTTTCCTCTATGGTTTTTGGTACCAATGCTTTATTTACCAAGCCTGCCCAATCTTTGGCTCCAATGCTTGTGGTTACAATACTAAATCAATTTGGATATGAGAACTTGAATAATGAAGTTGCTCAGCTTGATCCAAGGTGAGTTCAAAAGCGATACTTTAAATCATAGAAATTAACATGAAATAATCCTGTCATCTAAAAAGCAAATTGATCTGCAATTAGTTTGCATCAACTGCACTTTAAACATGAGTGCTTTAAAAATATTTTCCAGTTGTTTTTTATCTGTGAAGAAAATTATTTAAAGAATAGCTTTTTAAACAATACACATGAGGATATGTACCTAATTTTGACAAACAAATAACACATTTCAATAGTTGACCATACCCAGTTCTATTGCAAAAAAGAGAAAAAGTGTTTGAGATCACCTAATGCCTCTTAAGATACATGTTGTCCTGGTTTCTGCATTTTGTTTATCTTGTAAACCTACTTGGTTAAATATATAATCTTAATAAGGTTGCATTTAAGATACATTTTTGTTTGAGAGAAAGCAGTGTAATCACTGGAGGGAGGGATTCTGTCTCAAGTAGGAATATAATTTTGGCTTCAATACTACTGACCATTCTAATGCTAATGATTTCATTGCAGTCCCTGGAGACCTTAATACACAGCATAAAGCTGTGGTTGCTAGTTAGCACGTTGGAAATGCATGGCCTTTTATAAAAACAAATTAACAGGGAGTCAGTACACTGAAAGAGTCATAGACTGTTTATTTATGACCAACAAGAGGAAGTGGCAACATAAGGAATAACTGAAGTCAGGACTAAAAGGCAAAAATCAGTCGTGATTAGGATTTGCTTGAGAGAACAATATGAATATCCTCAGAACTACATAGCTCTCCTAAATTTTGAGTAGAAACCTTAAAAAATACATAGAAGACAATTGTATATGAACTTTTGTGGAGATAGCTCTTGAAGGAGAAAGGACTGACTAGGAGAATGTTTTGCATTTGAGGAATTCTTAAAAAAAATGCATGAGGAAAAGCATGACATAAAAGGACAACAGGTGGTCTTCAGAAAAGCATCCTGACACAAGCAAAGAAGGCTTAAGTTTGAGAGCAGTTAATTTTATTTTAATGCATTCTGTAGATAGCCAGCAAGTGAGATGATGGGAGGAGAACATAAACCTCATTATAATGTCAAATAAAATGAGTGATTTTTGCAGAAGAGTGATCGGTTGAACTGGATGTGGATAGGAGCAGGCTGAATATATGAATCTTGATGTTTCAGGAAAATTCAGATTTGACACATAAAAACTGCAGTTCTGATCTCTTTCAATCAGAGAAATGATCCCTTTGTGGATGCATTTTAAATCACAGTAATGATAAATCTTTTTTTCCCCCAGTAAGTAGCCTCTGGACTATAGCAACAATAAATTTCTTGTATATAGAATTTAAATACTTTGACGCTCAATCTCTAAAACCTATATTTTCACTTGAGACATGTGGAAATTTGATTTATTTCACTAGGGCAAGGAACAGCATAAAGGTACAAAGCCAAGATCAGTTAATCAAAGAACACCTGAAAAATGCGATATATTTCTTTTGCTTGTCCCTTCAAAAATAATTTCTTAAATATGAAGAGTCTGCATGTGTTTTCTGTATATGCATGTATGAATGTGCTTGTCCTTCGCTTTGCAAATGGACTATGGTGTGGACATACAGCCCACAAAGACCAGACTACTCAAAATTGTTTCTAGGGAGCCAGTTTGCCCAATGGCAAAGTACTCAGACCATTGACTGAGCTAAAATTACTTACACATTTTAAAACCCTATCAGCTGATTTCAGCCACAGACAGACAGCTAAAATACACTTGCATCAGGACAGAGTTGTGTGGGGACAAACAGAAACTGAATACAGGAGATTGCTTTAAATATGCTCAAACTGTTTTAAGAAAAAAAAAAAGTCACACATATGAATTATATATAATGAAGTGTTCTGGAAAGCATTTACTTTATTAGATGTAGTGGTAGTGAATTGTAAAAATAGCACAGAGGACCCTTATTCTACATTAAGAAAATATTTGGCCCCTGAACAAGTATGTCTTAAGAGTTTCCAGCAATTTTCTTTACTGGAGAAGAGAGAAAACGCAGTCCAAAACCATAAACTATTTGGTAAATTCCAAATTTTTTTTTTCTTGAACTGAAAATTAAACTATAGCAACAGTGATGGAGCAGCTAATCCTGGAAACCATTTCCAGTCACATTAAGGACAATAAAATCAGTAGTAGTTAGCATGGCTTCACCAAGGGCAAGTCCTGCTTGACCAACTTGATAAACCTCTACAATGAAATGGCTAGCTTGGTAGGCAAGGGAAGAGCAGTGGATATTGTCTACCTGGACTTCAGTAAGGCCTTTGACACTGTCTCCCGTAAGATCCTCATAAACAAGCCTTTGATATACGGGGTGGATGAGCAGACAGTGAGGTAGGTTGAAAACTGGCTGAATGGCCAGGCCCAGAGCGTGGTGATCAGTGGCATGAAGTCTAGTTGGAGGCCAGTAACTAGTAGTGTACCCTAGGGGTCTATACTGGGTCCAGTCCTGTTTAACATCTTCATTAATGATCTGGATGATGGAGCAGGATGTATCCTCAGGAAGTTTGGTGATGACACAAAACTCAGATGTGTGGCTGATACACAGGGAGTCTTGGCAGGCTGGAGAAATGTGCTGACAGGATCCTCATGATTCAACAAGAAGTGCAAAGTCCTGCACCTGGGGAGGAACAGCCCCATGCACCAGTATATACTGGGGGCTACCCAGCTGGAAAGCAGCTTGGCAGGAAAGGACCTAGCAGACCAAACTGAACATGAGCCAGTGATGTGCTCTTACAGCAAAGAAGGCAAATGTTATCTTGGGCTGCTGCATCAGAGAAAGTATTGCCAGCAGGTCAAAGGATATGACCCTTCCCTCTGAACTGGTGAGGCCCCATCTGGAGTATTGTGTTCAGTTCTTGGCTCCTCAGTACAAGAGACGCATGATCATACAGGAGAGAACCCAACAACGGACCACAAAGGGTTATTAAGGGACTGGAGCATCTCTCCTATGAGGAAAAGCTGAGAGACTTGGCACTGTTCAGCCTGGAGAAGAGAAGTCACAGGAGGGATCTTCTTAATATATGTAAATACCTTAAGGAGGGGTGCGAAGAGGATGGTTTCAGGCTCTTCCCAGTGGTGCCCAGTGACAGGACCAGAGGCAGTGCGCATAAACTGAAACACAGGAGGTTCCCTCTGAACATCAGGAAACACTTTTTACTGTGAGTGTGACTGAGCAGGTGAACAGGTTGCTCAGGGAGGTTGTGGAGTCTCCATCCTTAGAAATATTTGAAAGGTATCTAGACACAGTCCTGGGCAGCTGGCTCTATGTGGCCCTGCTTGAGCCTGGGTGTGAAGCAGATGACTTCCAGAGGTCCCTTCCAACCTCAACCATTCTGTGATTCTTGTTCTGTGAACAAAGTTCCAGTATTTAATGATAGTGAAAATATGGGTATATTACAGTTACAGACAAGCAGTTGTTTTTTATATACAGTTACTATCTGTTGCATTAGTTTTCTTCCACGGTTATTTCACAGAACTTCTTGCAAATCAGAAGAATCTTAATAAGATGTATTTTATTATCTGTGTTCAGTTTTGGTTTTGTTTTGTATGTTAATATACTGTGGAGTGAATGGAGAAAAGTATTAGCAGACAATCAGTGGTCTCCTTCAGTAATGTCCAGATGTCTCCCTTATCTTTCCCTCCAGCATCAAAAGTCTGAACATTGTTTTTTGTATTCTCAGCAACTTTCCAGGCTTTTGCTGTAGTAAAACACAGTTGCCAGCAATGAGTTTACAGTTGAAAATTATGGAAATAAGCTTTTCTTGTTCACACTGATCTTTGTGTAATACTGTAATTTCATTTCCTCATTCCTCATGTCTTTGTATATTGCTTACTCAAGACCACATGGAATGCTAGAGCTCTCAAACATTCTGGATGACTCCAACCTGCATATAAAAAACCCCTCATAGCTTGCAGGGGAAGGGTTTCTTCTCCCCTTGTTTATTTATCTTATACATTTGATAGCATTTTATTTATAGCATACTGCCAGAAGTGGGCTTCATAAATATTCTGTCTTTGCTCATTTTACACTGTTTAAAAAAAAAAAATATCAAAAGCTATCTGCTGGGAGAAATCATATATCTTCTGATTCTTATGCCTCCAGCAAAAGGTCTTGAAGATGACACTACCTCAACTCCACCTCTTCATCATTCCAGTGATTACATTTTGGTTCTTCAGTTATGTGATATTATGACTCATTGACATTCTCCAAGATCAGGATATTTCATTGTTGCTTCATTAGAGCACCAAAACTCTTAACAGAGTACCAGCCAACAGTAAGTTGCTGGTTTTTAAGCTTTGCTGTCTTTTGTTGCCATCATGCTGTTGAGCAATTCACACATACATGTTCTCTGACTCAGTAAAGACCACATTCCTGAGCAGCTGATTAGGGCAACTGATGAGTTATAAGTGAAATTCGTATCCCAGAAGACCTTCTGAGACAAAATGGTTCATCATCATCTTGCTGGCTTCTGTTACAGTTGTGTTCTCTAGGGCACCTAAGCTGGTAAGACAGTGAAGAGGTTTTATACAGAGTAAGATTCTAGAAGAAAGGAAAATTCAGTCCCCTTTTTCTTTCATACATGAGGCATAACACCTCCAGGTGGATGGTTAACATTGATCAGAAACGAGAATATGCTTGTCACTGAACAGTGAACCCAGTACTGTATTAGACCAGGAATTCCAAAGACCTAGACTGTCTCTCTTCCTCTGTACTGAAGCCTTTGCATTGACCATTAACATCACCAACTTCTTACTTACCAGTACCCATATCCACTTCTCCTCAATGTGACTTCTTAGTCACAGTGATGTCTTCTTCCTTAGGAGCAATCCAGTATCTCTTGATTTTGCCTGTGGTGCTGTAACTCTGAAGTGTGACTTCTGCTATGCATAGTGTATCCCTCTTCCAGAAATCTTGCTTTTTGGTATAACCTTTTTCACATGTGAGGTTGGCCTAGATATTGTACACAATTCCATGTGTGTTACACATGATTGTGTATACGTTAATATACACATTATACCACATTCTTAGGAAATGTGGTCACTACACATCAATTAAGCATTTTGTAGTGGAAGCTACCTTAAGTATTTTTAATATCCTTAAAATTTGAGCAATAGCTTGCAGAATGGAATGGTCCTGTTTGTTTTTTTTTTTAATTTTTGGTCCATCATCTCAGCAAAGCATTACCTGACCCATATAGCTTGGGGGGGTTTTTTGTTTGCCTTGGGGTTTTGTTTTGTTTTGTTTTGTTTTAGTTTGGCGAGTTGTTTTTTTCTTTTTGCTATGGAAAAGATAACTAGTTTCAAAACTCCCTCTTCTGGAAAGCCACTGCAACTACAACTAACTTCTATAAAGTGTGCTTTTCAAATTCGTACTTCAGCATGAAGTTATTTGACAGCAACTCTTCATTATTCACTGGAGGCTCTTTAAACTGTTAATGCTTTCATATCGAATTACTGGACTGCATCACATTCTACTCAGAGTGATATTAGGGCTGGTTAGTGAAAGATTGCATGTTTTATTCCTGTGTGTGCAAAAACTGTAGACAAGGAAATTTCTGAAATTACTGGTTCAGCTATTATTACGATGAAATCTGAGCTCTGCTCTTGATTTATCTCAGTCCCTTAATGAAATATTTTCCCATTCCTTGTTCTGTGTACTATAGATATTGTTCTTAATTCCTGCAGTAGCTCAAGGTTTTACAGTACGATAGGTAATATTATTTTCTTAAAGCAATATTGTTCCGGTGAAACCAAACCAGGATTGCACCAGTGTGCGTGATTTGGCAGATGTTCTTTCTTTTTTTGTCCTTCCTGAAGTCCATGTGTAAAGACAGAATAATTTTAGTACTGAAAACCACAATCCTCTTTAGTGTGGAGAACAGCCAAGTACAAGCCTCCAAATCCTGTTAACTGTGTCTTAGTCCTGTTTTCACCTTTGGATAGGTAAGTAATTGGTCTGTGGCCTCCCTGCTGACACTGCTCATACAGTTAACTATTGGCAGTTGTGACAGTGGTGTGCATGATGTGGGCCGTTGTTTACTTGTAGATGAACTGAAAATGCAGTTGAATACAGGCCAGGAAACAGCATCCAAATGGTAAATTATTGTCATTGCCAATAAACATTGGCTACGGTCCAGTAACCTACTAGTGAACAGTTCCAGTCTTAAATGCAGTTGCCCAAGGGATTAAGTAATTCACTTGTAAGCCTGTGGTTTTTTGTTTTCTTATGTAGCATTAGCACGTACTTAACTTGAGATAAAGTGTGACTGTCCTATGAGTGTGTGTATGTACTAAGAAATAAATCTGGGCAATGTTGGAGGTTGCAAGCATTTTTTCTGTTAAACACAGTGTGAGACATGAGTTGATTCTTTTATGATTCAGAGAAACTCTTAGGTTTTATTCAAAAGCCTGTTCAAGTGTTTTTCATGTCCATAGCTGTTCCATGAGTTTCCTATCTCATCCCTGAATGCTAAGGAAACAAAATAGAAGGTAACATAAACTGCCTCATGGAGGGAAAGTTCATTTAGGGGCTGTTTCTCAGTTTGAGTTGACTTTCCTGATGTTTAAGTAATTAGAATCCAATAATTAACACAATGCCAGTAGATGATTCTAGCTACTAGAGGAATGCCTAAATGTATGTTTTGAGGTGTCAGAAATCATACTGCTCATAAAAAGGAACTCATTTGACTTCTATATTTTATTTTTTGATTCATATTTGTTGATGTTTCATCTCTTATTCCTTAGAGAAGATTTAGATGAGGAAATACCATGCATCTGTGAGAATAAATGAGTGTTAATTTCACATGTATTCTTTTTATGGTTTATATTATCTTTTAATCATTTATTTTAAAACAAAATGAAATAAGGCTTTATATTTCAAACAGCCCTTTACACCATACCTGAGTTTTGTGCGTTAATCATGACTTCCATCTAGCACTGGGTGACTAACAACACACTATGTGGATAGCTAGTAGCACAGATTTTAACTTAATAAAATAATTACATATTAAAATGTTTGCTTCCATTTTCTGCTTTCTTTCTCTCAGATTTTTCAGTGTTACTAAAGCTTTTCAGATGCTCTGTTCTATAATTGGATTATATTGCTTAAATTGATTTCTAGATTATGTAATACAGATGTGTACTACAGCAGCAAATAGGATTTCTTAGGTTGCCTGCAGTTTACTAACATTAACTCTTTGTGTGCTAATTATCTAATTTCCTCCCAGCTATTATGAAAGAAGCAAACAACATAAAATTCATATTTGTATGTAGAATTAGAAAATACAATTGAATTATATTTGACATCTGATACTTATACTTTTTTTATTTAGATTATACACAGTAATGTGTATATGCTGTATATGTGTATATAAAGTGAATGCTTTAAAAATAATTTGTTGTGAATTGATCATGAAAGTTAATCTTCTTCATCCTGAAAGCTGTGTTTTCATCTTCTTCACCAGTTTGCTTTTAGGTCTTCATGATGCCATGTTCTATTTGATCTGTCTGGTTCCACTTTGCATTGCAGTCATACAGATCCTGACGTGGACTCGCTTTTCAATCCAGAATAGTCATATGACAGCTGTACGCTAAATTTGTAACAGTTGGTCAGTAAATCTTCTGCTGAATTGTACCACAAAAGACTTGGTATGTTTTAAATGTGAAAAAGCAAAACTTCATTAAATGGACTATTAGGCCAAGCACAGTTTGAACCATTTCAATAGAGTTGCATTCTTCAGGCTGTGTAGACTGTAACACAGATCACATTCAGCCTTAATGCTGAGCCTACACAGATTTTTTTACTACCTCAGTTGTTTGCCTTTAGTAGGCTTTATCCTTAATTACCAAATAAAGTAATTTCTGGTATATAGTGGTCACTGCTAACTCATCTGAAGAATGGATATAGCAGATCAGGTAAAGGAATCCCCACCCAGCACCTGGAATTCCAGGGGACTGTATTTTCTTAAGTTCACTGAAAGATGGTGAATTAATTTTGCCATACTGATAAAATGGCAGATCTCTGAAGTTAATCTGGAAGAGCCTGGTGGACATCTCTCATGGATGGCAGGGAGATGAAGAGAAGAATTTAGATGGCGTCTAGCTGACCAGTATCAAGACAGCTACCGCAGGAAGAGTCAAGAATAATTAACTACCCTGTAAAAGTCTGTGTAAGGCTAAAGAAGAAAAAGATTCAGATGCTGTTCAATGAAGTATTGCCGGATATGGAAAAAGCTCCATACGTCCTCACTGGCTTTCCAGATGTGTCTAGTCGGTGGTAGGTAGATGCAGTTTTCTGTCTTTAAATGGGAAAATTATTTTGAAGGTACCATATTGTTAGTACTTAATACAGAATGTCATTTTGGTAAGAAAAACATTAGTGTATGGGTGTAGTAGTGTTCAGTTAGTTGGACAAATCTAAGCACACACATATTGAATCAAATTCTACCTACATAGTAGTGTTACATTGGCAAACTCATTTAATGTGCTGACAGTTGAAGTTAATTTCTAATTAATCATGTTGAAGTTAGTTGATTTCTGATTAATTATTACCAGAATCTTTTCAGTTAAACTTTTAAATGGATCCTGTGATTTTTATTAAATAAAGGGTTTTTGATAAAATTTCAGAAACATTGAATCCTCTCTTATTTCACATGTGTTGTAATAAGATACATGAGCATGTTTACAATACTCCTGTTTAATAAATATTCTTTCCTCCAGTATATCCAGTATGTAAATTTGCAATGATACATAGCTTAAGTATGATATAATCACTTCATTTTTGTTCTTTGTTTTGTCTGGGCAAACATAATTTTAGAAGCACCTTTCTTATGGAGTGCCAGTCACTTGAAAGTACAAGTAGATGCATTGTATGTATCCCAATTTTAAAGTGCTGAGCCAGCTCATTTCTAAGGTTCTACATTTATTATGATAGGTAACTTGGAAGAGAAGGGCGTGTAAGAAGTTGCCTGCATTTTGGTGGATGCTAGCATAATTTAATGAAGAGGTTTGAGATTTGAAAAAAAATAGCCTTTTGTGCCTCAGTTTTTACATTTGCAGAGTAGAAACGATGTTTCCTTGCCTTTTTTGAAATACAAAGTGCTTTCAAAGTGATGAGTGAAAAAGTGGGATAGCATTGTTAAATATTTAGAAATCTAAGTGAACCCTTTGATAGGAATATGAAGTTTTATGTTAAAATGTAAGAAGCCAGAAGTGTCATGAAGTTTTAAGTTATATTACCTGTTTTCTACCTCTGTCTTGTCAGAGATACCATTATTCATTTGCATTACGTGCTAATAGCATAATGTACACTTACTAGTGTCACTTGTATTTACAGATCCAAAGAATATTTACAGAAATACCAGAGCAGATATGGGCTGTGTGTTTAGATTCTGAATTTTAAAAGATTTACTGCATTGCATGTATGCCTGAAAGGCAAAAAGAGCAAAAGCCAAAGGACAAAAATCTGAAGGAATTTAAGTTAATGTAATCTTTGATTCATTATATGAAAGTCTTCTCCCTGACATTTCCTTTAAAATGGTAATAAATAAAATAGTTTTATTTTTCTTTACTGTTTCTATATTTCCTAAATTTTATATGTTTATCCTATCCTCATAGAATATATATTTTGATAGGTGAAAATGTTGTTCCACAAATTGGTTTTCTTGGATGACTCTGTTTATTACTTAGATCTAATACTAAGTTATTAGAACATAGTGTACAACTGGGAGAACATTGTGCTATACAACAGGAAAATTAGTAAGTGGGTTTAAGTGTCAAAATTACACCAAGAATTCTTTGAAACAATTGGATTTTTTTTTTTTTTTAATGTTTGGTAAGGATACCATTTTTTTAATTGAAATAAGAAAGCAAGGGGTGATATGACTGAATGCATAGTTTGAATAGCCTGTGTAAAATGCTGCTTCTTTAGAATTAAGATAATAAACTAAATAGTCAAAGATTTCTAAGCAAAACAGCATTAAGATATGAGAGATTAACTGTGTAAAATAAAGTAGTTTAGAAAACAAATCTGAGAAGTACAGTACGAATTATTTAATATGATTTTGCAAACTTGTTATTTATTATTCTCCCATTTGTCTGTCCAGGAAAAAAGTGTCTTTCATCGCACCAATAGTCAATCGAAAAGAGGACTGGAAAAGTGCTTTAAATTCAGGTAGCAGTCTTATTACAAGAATAGGAGGTTGACAGTATGTTATGACTGATGTCTCTTATTCTCTATTTCTCTGTCACACGCTAAACTTTGTTATCCTCGCTAAACCTACATGAGATTGTTTTTGGCCCTGAATCAAGTAAAGCATGATCAAAGGCAAAAGTTCAGTGTCTTGCAACAGCTGGTTTGTCTGCTTTCTCTCCTTGTTAGCTAATAGTATCTGAGCTTGGAAGTCCTGCTGCTGGAAAAATGCCCCAATTTAATCTTGATAATTTAAGGGTGTCTAAAATAGTCTCATAACTTATAAAGAGAATTTAAGTGTGTACAGTATAAAATATGAAATGCTGTGATAACTTCAGAGAATGAGAAATTTCATGCTTGAAGCCTACTCTTAGAGTTTCTCTATAAATTCTGAGAATTTGGATCTTAATACACTAAATGAATTTTATTTATTGAAAATCAATAGGGAAAAGTGTCTACTAGATTTAAAAGGATGTTATCTAATAGACACTAAGGAATGTTAGTCTAGTATAGTAGCAATATAATAGATGGTTTGTAATAGAGTGAAAACATTGTATAAATGGCACCAAAGCCTATTTAATTTTAAGTAGGAAAAAATTAGATTTATGTTTTGTGGTGCTTACAGGCCTGCCTCAGTTCTTGTCTTGTACAAAATGACCTTCCCAGTCTCCTGCCGTTGCTGATTTTGGAACTGCTCAGTAATTCATGAATATACTATGTTGACATGGCTAGTAGAATGTTTACATTTTAATAGGGTTGTACAGCTTAATGGATGCTGTCAGGAAAGACAAGCAGGAAGGGGAAGGAACAGTTATGATAAGCCACATCTCCAAAAATACTTCTGAGCTCTTTCTTACAGAATTAAGCCAACTCAGGAAAAAGCTCAGTAGTACATGCAGTCAAATTAATTCTAGCTGATTTTGTACAAGTGAGACAGGGAGTGAGTTGTCTTAGCTGGACAGACCCACAGCTGGGATTCCTGGGTTACCTTTGCAGAAGAGGATTTTAGATATCTATGTTTATCTTAAAGACCTCTTTCTGGTAATCACTTTCTTAGTATTAATTAAATAATAGAAGGGAAAGTTGTTCTATCGCTGTACTTTATTGGGAAAATTGAAGATTTGCATCTTGGAAGACGTGAGGCTGTGTAGGCAGCCCTGTCACACTGAGTCCTGCTCCAGCACACCAGGCTCCTTGTGATCACCACAAATGAAATGCAGGCTGTGTTAAAATCTTTGGGTATGTTTTGAACCTTTTGGACTCTAGGTATTCAATCGATTATGGAAATTTTCCATCAAGAGAAAGAAGAAACACTATCTAAACAGTTGAGGAGAAAGTAGAAAAAAAGTGATTCCTTTTTCTCTGGAAATCCTCTCTCACCACACTTGCTGCTTTGAATGACATATGCATACACTTATACAACAAATAGTTTTCTGAGATTGTCCAGTGATTGGTTACAATTCTACCAGCCTATATGGAAATGACAATACATCAAAATTATTACCTAAATATGCATGAATAGTGTGTTTTTGTAGCCTGTCAAGAGAAAAAATATGCTTAGTGTACAACTACTGCAGCAGAATATTAATGACAAATGTAACACTGAGTAGGAACTTTGAAAAATCTCATTAAAACATACCCAGGTTTTATACTGACAGTGTAAAGACAAAAGCTAGTGTATTCCTTACTTTATTTGGTATGCAATTTATTACCTGTATCTTACATGTGATAAAATTAGGATATGTTTCCCTGTGAACTATATGTAACTAACCTGAAACAGTTTTATTTATTGGTTTACACATTGTGAGCATATGTCTGTTTAAAAAGCAGCAAAATAAAAAAATTTATCTTTTGCATTTTGGATTTTGATTATAAAGTTTCTTTATTCCTGGAGGGAAAAAATAAAGCTAATCTGTCTTTACAAACAACATATGTAGAAAGGACAGTGTTAATCCCAAACCAAATAAAAAGAAGTAGGCCAAAAAGGCATCTTAGCCTGTCTAGCTATTGGAGAAAATAAAAATTGTCATGTGGAAAACTGTCTAAAGCTCTCATGTCAAAAACTTTCCTCAAGGAGGTTAAACGTCAGTGAAAATGAACTGAACAGAAACATCCTCTGGCAGTATTCTGTTGTTGCTCTGGTTTTGCTGATTTCCCAGGGTAAGCAAGGTTGGATGTGATTAGTACTTGATCAGAGGATATTCCAGGTAGAAGCCAGGATCCCACAGTGGTCTGATTTCCCGTGTCATCCTTACCAGGAAATGAAGGGCAGCCTTTCAAATCTGATCAAAAGGAAAGATATGGATTGCTTGTGGTTGTTAAGAAACATTCTTCTGAGATGAGAGATGATAGCCCTGATGCCATACACAGCTGGAATTTGATTAATGAGGTAAACTTTGTCTAGATTTTCTTTCAGTTTCAATTGTATACAGTATTCCTCATTTCCTGTGAGCACAAATTAACCTATGTTTATTAGAGCATAAGGGAGAACAGTAGTACCTAACCCAAACCCACAGTAACTGGCTTTTGTTCTAGCAAAGGCACATGCTTCTGTATGAAAAGCCAAAAGGTGTTTAGCCAGCTTGACCTGTCCCAGATAAAAATGTTCTGATAAGTACTGTCTGTTCTAGGCTAGCCTTCCTCTCTGGGGTATTAGTTGCATTAAGGGCACATTTTTATCCACGAGTCTCCACTATGCCCCACTGCATCCCCATGCACAGAAATAGGATGCAGGAGTCCAACTCTGAAGTTCTTATTTTCCTGCCTACTCGATGACTTCTCCTTCCTCTGCATGCACATCCCACAGCTTCAGGAAAAAAAATCCTGGATTGAGGGTCTTAGATTCTCCTGTGCAGTGACACAAGCTCCTGCCACAGGGCCCAGGTTGGAAGTTTTGTAAACAAAATGTTGCAGAAATTCCAGCAACCAGTGGAACAAAAAAGCATTAAGGTTTACTCTGAGCCATTGCAAAATAGTTGTTTACAAGAAAGATTTAAATGTCTGAGGGTTTGAAGCTGAATTTTATATTTCAAAGGGTTGTTGTAGTCTTTCATCTGCAGATTGAAGTCCCTTTTGAAGAGCGAGTCCTGTAATGACCCAATTTATCTTTAATGACCCAATTTAAAAATGGTTTGGGGTTTTTAGGAATCTTGTGGTTGACGGTTAAGCTTTTAGAACAATGTAGCAATGTTGTGCTTAAGTCAAGAAGGATGTTCCTTGTCTGTGTTAAAGCCAAAGGCATCCTAATCAGAAGAACAAGTAGATAGCCTTCTTTGAGCAAGAACATCCCAGAGACATTACACCTTGAAGAGGATACATTGCTGACTTGGCAAGCAAACTCAAGGTCCACGTATCCTTAGCTGAACTACCTCATTATAATACTAAAAATCACACCTATAGGTCAACCCTGAGCATGCATAGTAATAGAAGTACGGTGTCAGCAGTATTATAATTGTATGTAAATCACTAACCAGTCATTGCAGAGAGGGTGGACTTAGAAAATTACTATCTCTGCAACTTTTGTGTATAAATATAGTGTGAAAAGTCCCATTGGTGTGCTTGATGTGTGGGAAATCACTGAGCACCTAGGCTTGTGCAGCCCTAAAATAAATAAGCAGTGTCTCTCCTGAGTGTGTGATTACTGACCTACTGCACCCCAGGCGGGGTATCTGCGTTTTGGACACCATTATCACCTCCGGGCTTAGCGACCTCCAGTTTCTGTGTACGGAAAAAAAAATCTTGAAGATAATGGAAACCAAGCACAGCTTTATGGGAAGCACCACTTCCATCTCTCAGCACTTACTGCTGTAGCAGCCAAGAATTTCTGAAATTTGATGATCTCCTCCCAAAATTTTGAACCTTAAAGGTACTAATTCCAGGAAGGTCCCCTGGAGCGACGGGAATCTGAACCTCCGCCGCAGCGTGTGGGAGGTGCCGGGGCGGATTTCGGGCCGGCAGCGCGGCCGCTCGCCTCAGCTT